CGTAATCGACAAATAAGTTTTTATAACGATCATCCAGATACCAAGTAGGAATTCTAAGTGAAAATTAAATATATTATCGCAGAAGGAGGCACTTATAATGCAACTGTAGCGCACTTGAAGGAAAAAAATTTTATTTTGTTATAGGAATGACTGAAATTAGTATTAAATTTACATTAGTAACTGCATAGGTAATCAAAAAATGATGAATGAGATGATAGGATATAGTGTTTCATAGCTGAAATACATGATTAGCTTGTTGCCACGTAAAAAAAATGCCAACTCTTATATGATTCAAACTTTGCTGAATTCGTTATCTAATATTATTCGATGGTGATAAAAAAATTAGAGAAAGAAAATATTTAATTTTAAATTTGGCCGACAGTATATATTAAGTAATAACTATATTACTATGATTACTATATTACTATGGTTATTACATTATAAGGTTTATTTCAGGCTTTTGTTGTGAATAACACTTTTGGAAAAGGTATAGCAAGACACTGTAGTACTGATTTTCTCTTCCAGTACTCGTAATCGTGGTCAGTCGAGAAAGAGTAAAGCTGGGTTCACACTACACCGTGTCGTGTAAAATAATCATGGTTACCACAGTTACCAAGCGATGTTTAAAAAACAATTTTTATGGTTCGGAACGGTACTAGGTACCATCTTGGTATTCGTAGTATTAACCGTACCAAACCGTAAAAAATGTTTGGTAAACATCACTTGGTATTTGGTAACTGTGGTAACCGCGATTATTTTACACGACACGGTGTAGTGTGAACCCGGCTTAAGACTTTTCCAAGGTTCAAGAGATCTCTCCCTAGTACCTACTCGTTATCGTGGTTACCAAAAGGAGAATTTAAATAAGCCTTCATAGCAGATGTCGATAATTTACTCTTTTGACGTTTTGGGAATCGGCTATCAAAATATATCTGTTATAATAGCCTTTGCGTGACGTATACGACAGTATAGGTAGATATTATGTAAAATACAATATTCTTTTAGGAATAAAAAGCAAACTCGTCACATTAATTACTTTTTTCTCGTTTAAATTGATATCATGTTCAACGTTCATTGCTCTCCAGTGTGCACAACTATATATAGTTCGTAAATAATATGCCGCCCGAAAATATTACAATATTATTTGTTATCTGATCTTTAGAGTTTCACTATATAGCTCGAGACGAGTAGGTATTGTACATAAAAGATATCGTTGATGAATGCATTTCTGTTTGCTCAGCTCTGTAGTACAAAAGAAAGGTAATTATTGTTTGCCATATTCCGGCGTTTTAATTTCTGAACCGACTTTTTAATACTCTTCAATATAATGACTATGTAGGTTATAAATCATAAACAAGAAAATACATTTTTTTTTCTCTTCCCGCATTATGGTGTATTCCATTTTATCGGTATTTATTAAGAGAATATTATTCAAACGGACAGCAGCATGTTTTATGATAGGGACATTTAATATTAAAGTTTCCTTTAGATTATAAAATGTGATATTATAATATGGATTATTAATACCTTAGAGATATACGATCATTCATAAAAGACACAATATTAATTGTTATACTATACAACAGTACACGAAAAATGACTAACTCTTTAAAGTTAAATAATAATTATGTTCAATTCATACCTATCTAACTATATTGTTTTAAATAGTAACAGTACAAGAATTTTTTTCATTCTTTTCATCATTTTTTTTTTTATCATTTCGATTCAATTGTAATCAACATTACTGTAAGTATTTCTAGAATAATAGACGTTGTCGTCGACTATAGGTATAAGTTGGAATAAATTCAATAATGATTAACTTACAATATTAACTTTAAATCATTTTAGTATGATACAACCATGCGTTAAGTTCCCATCACAATTAATTTATGCATAACGATTAGTGATTAGTGATTACATAGTTAAGCATAGTGTACATGTTAAATATAACGGCGCATGGTGTTTACCCTTTTATAGTATATTGTGAATATTGTAAAACTCACATGCATTAACATAATAAACAGGAATATGAACAAGATATAATATATAAATTATAAATATAATATAGGTAATACGGTGTTTTTTTTTTTTTTTGAGCATATTATTATGTACATGGTTATTAGCTTACATTTAATTATTTACATTTTAGATTAATAATAGGTAGGATATACTATACTATAATTATGTACTGAATTAATAAAAAAACGGTTTTATTATTACTTTCGATAAACATTATTCTTAAGTTATCAGTTTGCAAAAAAAAAAAAAGAAAAAGAAAACTGTTAAATTATTCTTAATGCTTTTAAATTGGACACTCGCTGACTGAATTGCTGTACGTACAATAATAGCTCTTTAAGGATGTTATGACAAATTAGGTCATTGAGAAATTTTTATACTGCAATAACTAATAAGAGTTTATAGGTATAAGACATCTTGCAGGTCACATGTAATATGTTATTCAGTTATAATATTATTAATCGCTTAAGTAATTGACTAATATAGTAACTAAACTAATAAAAATAGAATATCAGTACCTACGATATTATGATTATTACAGTACAAAACTAGTAAAATTGATTGTATAGTGATCCACTAAGAAAATACCGAAAATGGCACTTAAAAATATAAAAATTGCACTAAAAAAAATAAATGTTTTGTTACAAATGTTTTTAATTCATTGTTATTAATTATTACTTTTTTTTCACTTAATAGTTCACAGTAGATAATATTTTGATTAAATATTTAATAAAAAAATCATTTCACATTTATTTTAATCTTTATATTTTCTTAAATAATATTTAAATTCTACAAAAAAAAAAAATAATATTTTACATTCTAATATAACAATCTAAATACTAATACCTTATAAACGGCTTAAACATAATTTAATTAGACTATAAGTATTTATTTTGAACTTTCTTATTATGTAAAAACCAAATTAAAACTACATGAACAAAATTCAAAAATATTTCAAATTGTTTTATATACAATTGTTAGTGTGTTGCTATATTGTTGTAATCAAATGAAGTTAAAATAAAAAAAAACTAATAATTGTTTATTATAACTTGAGATGTATTCATACCTATCCTTCTTCAAAATGTAACAAAACCTATGCAATACGATGACGTGATTTATTTTATTTTTCTACATCAAAATCGAACGTTTCTGTATTAGGTATACTAGCTTTATTGTGACATTTAAAATATTATACATAATAATTAATTATGTTAGTCTTTACAATTTTCTCAATTTCCACATAATTTATTATAGATATTTTGTAATCGAAAAAATGATTTGATGATATTGATACAAATCAGAAATTCTATAAGTACCAAACTGCAAAAATATTTTTTACTGGTTTTACGAATAATATGATTATAATATTTTAAGTTATTTGTAAATTAAATTTCATTATACAGCATAATGAAAATTTATTGATTTATCAACGTTATATAGAATGGAATATATTTTGAAAACATGTTATTCTTACAACATGACGTAGATAATATACAATAAAGTTTTTGCAGGTAATGACTCACTCTAAGAAGTTTGTAATATTACATTCCAAAAATAAATTAAATTAGTAGGTATTATACATTTATACCTATTACAGTTTCATTTAATTTTTTGGTAACTTACAGAATTATATAAAGTATGTTCAACCAAGTTATAATTTGATTGAATTTCGTATTGAAAAATGCAAAATTGCAATGGTAATTTATAATTATTTAACTATGTTATAGAAAATAAGCTAAACAATCGCTATCCCTATTTATAAATACCACAATAAAATGTACCTACCTATTACAGTATACATTCTTAAATTCCATGCGTTTAAGACTATATAATATATTAAATGTTAATAGTCGAGCCTGTGCTCCATATGGTTTTGAAACTATGGCTCTTTTCAATTACAAAACAAAAAGAAAACTAATGCCATAACAAGAATAATCGCACTAAATTTAATTTAATTTAATTTAAAATGGGTTTAGGAAAATGATGATGACAGACACAAAAAAAAAGGTGCGCAAGTGGGTGTCGCTCTGCTGTACAGTAGGTTACAAGTGGGTCACTGTAATGGATGGTGTTAAATGTGAATTCAATGATATAATATAATTGTAAAAGAAAAACGATTCTGAGCGAAGACTTTATGATATTACTACTAATTTATATAAAACCTATTTACTCGTACATGGAACCTTGTTTTAAGTTTTCAACTCTTAGACATAAAATTTGAAAATTTCATACATTTTTAACTACAAAATAATTATTCAATTTTAAATTTGATAAATTTTGTCAAAATTTTAACTTTGAATGCTTATAAAAAAAATTGAACTTATGTATTTTTAATATTTTTCAACTGCTATTGTAACATTACATCAGAAGTCTTGTTTTAAATTTTCACTCATTTTTACCCAACAAATAAAATTGTATTGACAATTATAGAAAAAAAACTGAAAGAATTGAAAACTGACAATTACCGTAAACCGACAAATGCTAATATAAATGTTCAGTGAAAATTTCATGTATTTACGGTAAATTTTTTTAGGGTTACGCCACAAACCAACATTTTGTCAAAAACCAATTTTAAGTAAAAATTCTCGTTTTTACCGGGGCTTTTAAACTACTGGAACTTTAAATTTTGACCTCCCAAAAGTACTAATTATAGATGAAATGAATAAAAATAATAGATTAAAATGTTTGTATTTACTATTATGAATTGTATCTGACGCAGTGGGATTTTTTTTTTTCAAAGATAATACATTTGGGTTTTTTTTTATTGACCTCCATAGATCTCTATACACTAATCTCCAAATTATTCACAATAAAATATATAGAGATCAAAGATCAGAAACTATATCAATATAAATACAATATGAAAGCTAATAACCATCGCAAACGAAGCTTTATTCATATAAAGAAATTTACAGAGTAGGTACATTATACGTTATTATTATTTTTTGTAAATTGTTTATTTTTTTTAACGTTCGATTGTTAAAATGATTAAGTTTTGTACAAGTGTGTTGTGTTTGATTGTATTATGTATGAAAGTGACTGCATACAAGAAGTTTTATTTACCCAACAGCATTTGCCCACATTTTTGCAAGTTCCGCACTACGTCTAAATTCGATAAAAATGCACACTTGTTCGATTGGGAGACTTGTTATCCGACTTCATACGAGAACGAACAAAGTAATTCAGAAAACAACAGATTAAAGAACGGTTGTCCGGTTGTACCTACATGTAACGATGACAGTTATGTTAATTGTGTATGTTGGGGAATATACGGATTGTATGTTGGCAATTTGACTCAGCCAATATGTAAATTTAGCCGAGAAGAAGTGGAACTTCGCAGTCGGCCTAGTCAGAAACTAGGTAATATGCCTGTTAAGGATCAAAAGAAAAAACCCGGTCAAGTTATCACCAATACTGCAGACACCATCAAAACCAAACTTAATTCAACTGTAAATATGGACGAAAACATTTTGAAGGATAAATTTACAATGTCGGGGCCAGCAAAAGGAGCGAGTTTGACTGAGTTTTGTTTATTCTCATTTTGTTTTTAACCTAAAAAATATAAGTTAGAACGTTATCTAATTATTAGTTAAAAGATACCTAACTTAATTTTTTAACTTTTTAACACGTTAATGCCCAACCTTGGTTCAAAATAGTCGAAATTAGTTATTTTACTACAAATTTTATAATTTTATGAAATTGTATGTAGGTACATGAATAATTAGTATAGAATATTAGTATTGTACATTTGTTGTACGACTATCTGGTATTTGTTAATAAAAATAAATAATACACTCATGCGTGTAAGTATGTGTAACTGCTTAATTCTATTATTTACGGTCGATTTGCTAAGCAAAGCTCAATCAACTCAGTTACATGTTACGTGTGAAAAATTTTAAATTTTGACCTCCTCAATGCACCAACTAGATTCACTTTTCCATCAAACAAGATACTGAAGTTGAAAATCAAAAATCGAAATCGGTATTTGTTAATAAAAATAATTAATAAACACATGTGTAAGTATGTGTGACTGTTTAATTCTATATCATTTACGGTCGATTTGTAAAGCAAAGCTCAATCCACTCAGTTAAATGTTACGTGTCAAAAATTTTAAATTTTGACCTCCTCAATGCACCAACAAGATTCACTTTTCCATCAAACAAGATACTGAAGTTGAAAGTCGAAGCATTATTTCGACTACCTACATATCATGTACACAGACACAAAAAATTAAAATAATGAAAAAAAAATAAATAAAAAAACACACATCATTGTAAAATCAATAAATTCATCGCTCCACTGAAAAACGAAAATCACTAAAAATATTTGTATTTATTATTGTTAATTGTAACTACAGACGCATTGGGATTTTTTTTTTATCAACGTATATTCATTGGGTTTTTTTCATTGACTCCTCGTAGATTTCAATACAGTTATCTCAATAACAAAATATATATATAATGATAAAAGATCAGAAATTATATCTTATATAATAAAACGCTAATAACGCGTATAAGATCCGCGGGGAGCGCTCACGGCACTCCGCGTTTCTTCCATGACGACCAATCACAATACTTCCCGCGCGTTCGCTATAAATTCCGCTCGCTTACCCCCCATTTTCCTTATCGACGAATATTTTCGAACATTATTATTATTATTAAAAAAAAACCCGTGTTTTTCAATTTTTTGACGTGATAATAACGTCTTATAAATCGATTACCCTGCGACCGTCGGGCGGAGTGGGGGGACCCATTAAACGAGTAATTATTTTTGACGAAGTATAACTTAGCCGGTATTCGACTTAGAGACCCCGTACCAATGGGCATCTCAATTTTTTAGGCCCCAGATGAATTTTCAACATTAGGGAACCAAAGCCCCCACCCCCCCCACATTTTGAGTTGAGTATAACTCGGCCGGAATTCAAGTTAAACACCTCGGACCAAGGGGGAACCCATTCTTTTTATGAATACTACCGTTTTCCGCTTTAGGGGACGGGGGCACCTCCTCCCCCCCTTTTTGGATTTTGCTTTTTTGATGGATTTTGGTCCGGGAGAGTACTAACACCCACCTCGCCAAGGGGAAACTCGGGGTTTTGAGTTTTTGATAGGATTTATTGGGATTTTCTTAAATATTGTTTTTATTGATAAGGAAAGTGATAAGAATTTTATTTTATCGCCGCGAGCACGGCGACGCGGCTTAAGAGTCATACATTTTGCCTCGGGACTTCATCTGAGTAGGTGGCTAGGTTGGTTAGGCGTTAGGATAAGTGACTCGAGGGTCGTGGGTTCGAACCCGGCCTCTGGAATTTACGATAATTTGCGCCATTCGTGGTATTTTGAATTTTTTTTTTTGTTCGAGTTTTTTTTTTCGTCACATTTTTTTTTTTTTTGGCAAAAAAATATTAATATATATTAAAGTAGATATTTTAAATTGTAACTAAATTATATAATGATACTGTACTATTTTATAAATAATAATAATAATACTTGATTTTACCGTGACCAACGCACCTATATGTTTCTTATATAAATACAATATAATATAACTAACCTACATGTAGTACCTACTTGATATATTACAGTTTTTAGGTTAAATACTGTTTAATACGGTATTAATAAACTATATAATAGATCTAATAGAACTGATTAAACTCTGGCAGTTAAATAGTACGACTATATGACTGCTCTTTTTGCCGTTTTTTTTGAAAATTATAGTTTTAGCCCCTTTCGGTCATATCACCCTCCCCGTCGACTACTTATTCGCGTTCCCTGCTATATTTATAGCCACAGACGAGTCCCGGGGTGGAGTAGTGTGTCAGAAACGAGAGTAGGTACCGTGTAGGTATCGCTATATACAGGCATATATACATGCGCCTCGAGGTTCGATTTTTTTCGCAAATCTCGCGTCTTGAACGTCCGAAGGTGGCGGACATGGTGGTCCGCTCAAACGCCCTTAAGAGTCATAGATTTGGCTCCTTTGCCAAACCTTTTTTTGGCAAAAAAATATTAATATATATTAAAGTAGATATTTTAAATTGTAACTAAATTGTATAATGATACTGTACTATTTTATAAATAATAATAATAATACTTGATTTTACCGTGACCAACGCACCTATATGTTTCTTATATAAATACAATATAATATAACTAACCTACATGTAGTACCTACTTGATATATTACAGTTTTTAGGTTAAATACTGTTTAATACGGTATTAATAAACTAATAGATCTAATAGAACTGATTAAACTCTGGCAGTTAAATAGTACGACTATATGACTGCTCTTTTTGCCGTTTTTTTTGAAAATTATAGTTTTAGCCCCTTTCGGTCATATCACCCTCCCCGTCGACTACTTATTCGCGTTCCCTGCTATATTTATAGCCACAGACGAGTCCCGGGGTGGAGTAGTGTGTCAGAAACGAGAGTAGGTACCGTGTAGGTACTGCTATATACAGGCATATATACATGCGCCTCGAGGTTCGATTTTTTTCGCAAATCTCGCGTCTTGAACGTCCGAAGGTGGCGGACATGGTGGTCCGCTCAAACGCCCTTAAGAGTCATAGATTTGGCTCCTAATTTCATCTCGGTAGGTGGCTAGGTAGGTTAGGCGTTAAAACGGGTGATTCGACGGTCGTGGTTTCGAACGCCGGCGGGGCCGTGTTAAATCGAATTTCTTTTTTTTGCGTTTTTTTTTTCGTCACATTTATCATTTTTAACGAAAGTGTTAATTTTTTTTTTAATTTGCATTATTAAGAATGAATATATAATATTAGTTCAACATTTACCGACGCACCTACATGTTTCTTTTAATAATACATTATAATATAACTAACCTACGTGTAGTACCTACTTGATATATTACAGTTTTTACGTGATTCCGATTTGGTTAAATACTGCTACAGATTATAAATACTATATTAAAAAATAGTACGACTGTAATATGACTGCTTTATTTGCCGTTTTTTTCGAAAATTCGAGTCCCGGGGTGGAGTAGTGTGTCGGAAACGAGAGTATGTGTAGTGTATTCATTTATAGATACCTACGTTTAATAGGATAGTATTACATTTCAATAAAATTTGTTATTCACCAATATAATTATCTATTCGTTAATTTGACTTAATTCTCATAATTAAATAAATATACATGGTAGGTATATTTTAGAAAATATCCAATCAGAAAATTAGATTTTGTCGACTTATTTGTTATAACCGCGAAAACATAACAATGATTACATTGATTACAGTGAAGCCTAACATAAAACACCTGATAACTGTTCTCTATGATTATCAACAAATACAATTTTATTACCTCCTGTATACTTTTTCATATTTGAACGGCCGTTTCGAGCACTTTTCGCTGTAGGCGGATTGTCCGTTCGGGAATCGACTTTCACCCGAGATGACTGATAGCTAGACACTCAAACTGAGAATCCGAATTTCCGATTTCAACACACATACGAGAACCGGACACACACTCCCGGTGCATGGTCTGCGATCCGGCGTAGTCGGATTGCCTACCTGACTAGCTACTTGCATACGAGCGACTTACACTCCCACTGCATCTGACACTCGGGAATCGACTTTCACCCGAGATGACTGATAGCTAGATACTCAAACTCAGAATCCGAATTTCCGATTTCAACACACATACGAGAACCGGACATACACGCCCGGTGCATGGTCTGCGATCCGACGTAGTCGGATTGCCTACCTGACTAGCTACTTGCATACGAGCGACTTACACCCCCACTGCATCTGACACTCGGGAATCGACTTTCACCCGAGATGACTGATTTCAACAGCCGATTTGAACACATATACGAGAACCAGACACACACGCCCGGTGCATGGTCTGCGATCCGACGTAGTCGGATTGCCTACCTGACTAGCTACTTGCATACGAGCGACTTACACCCCCACTGCATCCGATCCGCCGCAGGTGGATTGTCCGTTCGGGAATCGACTTTCACCCGAGATGACTGATACCTAGACACTCAAACTCAGAATCCGAATTTCCGATTTCAACACACATACGAGAACCGGACATACACACCCGGTGCATGGTCTGCGATCCGACGTAGTCGGATTGCCTACCTGACTAGCTACTTGCATATGAGCGACTTACACCCCCACTGCATCCGACACTCGGGAATCGACTTTTACCCGAGATGACTGATAGCTAGACACTCCAACTCAGAATCCGAATTTCCGATTTCAACACACATACGACTAGACACTCTTCCGAGTTTAAAAATTACCGCTTACCCAGTGCTGCCAACACGACAAAACACAATACCCGACGACCCCCCCCTTCCCGCCACAGGCCGTATAAAAAAACCCAGCATCGCCGACAAAGATGCACCACCGCCCACACAGTCTTTCCGCCGTAGGCGGGATGACAAACACCGGAATCTAGTCGATAGAAATAAAATATAAAAGCTAATAATCATCAAAATCTAAGCATATTATTCATATAATACAATTTACGGAACAACATTATAAGTACGTTATTATTGTTTTTAGTTTTTTGTAAATTATAAATGGTTTTTTTTTTAAACGTTCGTTCATTAAAATGATTAAGTTTTGTAAAAGTGTGTTGTGTTTGATTTTATTATGTATGAACAGGACTGCAATGCAACGCTTCATAGTCTGAACGAATTCTGCAGTTGGATATGCGAGGTCTAGGTAGTCGACCGAGTTTCATTATGAATAATGTTTGTTATCCTACTGCATTCGACACCGATAGTATGTCAGACAGTGAAAATTGACAAATCATTAAATGACGTTCGTTTGCGTGTACCTAACATTAACATTGAGAGTCCAGCTGTTAAGACTGTTTTGGGTGATTTTAATTATACATCGCGTGGTCAACGTACAGAGTTGGTCTTATCAATTCCGAATCAATATGTAAATTGAGACAAGAAGAATTGGGAAATCCGCAACATCAGAAACGAGGTAATGTGGTTGTCAAGGATCCAAAGAAAAAACTGGCAGATGTTATCACCAATACTGGCAATACTACATAGGTAGTAAATCAAAAACAAACTGAAATCAACTGTAAGTCTGGATGACAAATTAAGTTTTAAATAGTAGTCAATGTAGTATTTTGTGTTTCATAATAAACAAATCTATAATATTGTGTATATTAATTATATTATTTTAACTATTTTAATATCTAATTTCAAAATATTTTTTTTTTTTTAACATTTAAAAATTAGGTACAATAATAAACATAGCATATGGTCTAACTTAACCTACAATCTACATGCCATAGTTCTAGTAGTCTATACAGTTGTCACTTGTCGTGATGGAGTATTAGAAAATTAAACGAGAACACGTTTTTTTGTAGCCACGTGCTGCACAATTCTCTTGATTCTTTATAATTTGGTGATATTCAGTATTCGAGGTTTGGAACCTATAATTATTTGATATCGTTATTGCATCTTGGTTTATTACACGGGTTATTTTTTTCTCGAATCAAAGTTGTGCTTAGTCGTGTTTCAATAATAATAATAATAATAAATAATAATAATAACGACGAGTATACTTTTTACATTCGCCGTGAATCAAATATAAAGTCGGTAATCAACTTCGACTTACAATGCCCGCCGAGCACAATACGCACGTTAATTGCAAACGAACTCCGGGCGTATATATATATATGAATGTGTACGTACATGCGAATTATAACTAAAAATACCTAAAGAAAAATATTTGCTCGGTTTTCCTTTGCTCGGCGGGGCAGACGCAGCTGCAGCACAGGAGTTTTTGATACAGTTTTCAGCAGTGCTCGTGTATTATAATATATTATTTATGTATAATACGGCTGAGATCATAATATTTCGAAAGTTGTTTGCGTTTCTCTCGAAAAGGGTTTCCGAAAATCAACTATCTCTTCAGCCCGGGGGGCGCCACCTCGGCACGGCAAACAAAACGTTTTAATTAATACACATCCGTCGCCATATACATACCGCAGGGACCGCCGCCGCCACTGCACTCACAAATCGTCGTCGCATTGTCTTACACGGGGGCTACATTGTTGTTTGCTGACTTCTTTGCTCGTCATTAACGACGACGACGACAGAGTGCCCCGCTACAATATGATATTGTACACATTTTATTATTATAATAGGTACACAGCGCAGCTTCTCAAGACGCATGCTGCACGTTATATATTAGCTGCAGCACACAATACGCTTCGTTATTGTATATGCTATTACGGTGTAGGCAATAATATTATTCGTTTTGCCGAATAAGCCGTCGACATTTCGGTAAATTTTTCGAGACTACCCGTCTCGTCGGAGATGCCGACCGAGAGAGAACCCGGAAAAGGATTTCGCGACCAAATTTCAAATAGTCAGAGTGCATCTGCGAGGTCGAAATATTTAGGACCTCCGGCAGACTCCTCGCTCGATAAATCGCGGTATCGTGAACACACATTAATCCACATTACGAAGTGTATAATTTTATGGAGGGGATGGTTTTATTGCAGGCCGGTGCGTGTAATTAGCTCCACGTCGGCGGCGTGGTGTTTGCCCGACAATTATTATTAGTGTCGTGCGAAATGTAAAGCTCCCGGTTATTGTCACCGACCGCGATCTGCCCGACGTGCGCCCATATATAATAATAATAATAATTTAATATATTAATATGACTACCTAATGATTATTATGACGAACGACTATCGTCGTGTACCTGCCTATTCGTACGAGTACGAATATAAGCGAACGGATACGACGTAGTACAGGCACCTCATCCACGACTGGTAAGCTCTAACACTTGCAGAGTCGTTAATTTCTCAAGCGTTGACGTCGACGAAGTTTTTGCACGGCCAAATAATATAATTTAAGTAATTACAACGACAGTACTACACAGTATGCGAATTGCGACTAGGTGATTTTAATGTGGAGGCTTGAGTCCCACCAAAATTATCATCACATATGTACATAAGTCTGTTCCCAGCAGCTACGACTGTCTAGCACAGCACACAATGTTCAAAGCTAGTTACAAATACCAAGCCTTAACTTAGATACTATTACTGTTACTGCTTATCGGGAGATTTAATTAAAACTGTTTTATTCAAATTAAAATGTGTTTAAAATCATTGAACTACCTAAGAATTCAATTCCTTGTTCTGAGTTCATTCGCTCTGTGGACTTTTATCTCCTGAGCTCGCCTCAATGAAGATACTCAAACTTGCCCACTGTAAATGCCCACTGTATACACAGGTAAGAAATTATATTAATATATTAATTCATAACCTTTGGTAATTTGTAATAATATTAATGAATGAAATCATCAAATAATCTAGTATTATTTCAAAAATTTGCAAATTGTAGATTTTATTTAAACAATGAAAAAACTTTTAGTTTTGTATTCTTGATTAGTATAGCTAAAAAAAATGTTATAAATAATGATCGTACCCATATAATATGTTAAAAATCCAGATATTTTTAAATTTACAAAAACAACAAATATCTGGTTGCAATGTACATAAATGTTTGAAAAATCTACAATTCGTGTCCCTGTTACATAGTAACCATACTTATCAATAACCATTAACCATTACCATTTCATTACGAATAATTTTTCTTACGGTCCAACCGTTTTTTCGTGCCTATAATATACCGATTATTATTCTGTACTTATTATATTTCTATCTGATTAATATATTATGTCCGACAATAATAGTTTTAGCGGAAGCTCGTCTGATATCGACAATGAAATAATGGAACAACCGTCGGCGACGTCATCTACCTTGACCAACGACTTACAGCTGGATTCAGATCAGTGGTTGTTCGATTTAGCGCCTCTACTGTACCCGGATGACGAACAGGCTGAAGTTGAAATCTTGCAGGCGTGTGATGGCGTGGGCCATTGTCCATCGACAGACATTGTATTTAATATGGAGGACGACGATGAAGATGGCGCATACACGGTGGACGACCAGAGGCCACGAATTGTATGCGCCATCAGCAACCTCCGTGACCAACAAGAAACGATGACGTCATTGACTAAGTCTGATTTCAATGTGTTGGACGAGATCACGGAAGAGTTACTGGTGACGGCCGTAAAAAAATCCTTAAACGTACCACTTGTATCTTTGTGTCCAAATGAACAGTCGTCAAGTGACGATGATAGCATTTCATCGCCTGTACCATGGATTATGGTACCGAGGGTCTTGGACAGGTTGATGGAATTTGACGAAGTGTCGTCAGAAATAAAAAACGCCAATACAAAGTACGGAATGCACCTGCCGCCTTTACCGTCGTGTCTAGTGAGTGCGCCGGAGCTGGAAAGGACACTACAGTCGAGCGAGTCTCCAGCGTTCGACATATCGAAGCCGACAATTATATCTGTGGCGAGCAACACCAAGCTTCCGGATTCAGATGTCGAGACACTAGGTCCTGCAGAGATCTCATCCACATCAAATGAAATGTCTAAACAGGTCGCCGGCGATATCTTCATACCGGAACACCTTGATTCCGAGGATTCACGGGAGGGCAGGACACGTGATTGTGTGACGGATATCGCTGTGATTCCGGCTGGTGATGCTCCGGATTTGCCGCCTTCCACGTCCGGCGAGACGCAGTTACCGGATTTGAACACCGTGAAAAACGTGGATATAACTGCCGTTGAACGCGGACGTCAGGTTCCACGCCGTTCGTTTTGGAGGCGCACCAAAAAATTCGTAAGACGATTGTTTTGTTGTGGTTCTACCGGAATCATAGACCAGTAAAATATATATCGTATAGTTTTGATTCTTCCTGTTTGTTTAGGTTAGATGGCTCTTTATCATAATGTTTGTATGTACATGCTTTTATAATACATTTTACAGTTTATTGTACCATACTTTTATATTATATAAATCACATTATTTCTTAATGAATTGCTTAACCTCTAAAAGTCTTAACGCTATCTGGCCTTATCACACATTCCCTTTTTTTTAAAAAAAAAAAAACAAACAAAAAAAATATATAGATATAATTACACATAGGAATATAATATTAATGACAATAGTAATAATCAGAACAAGAATTGATGCTTGTACAATTTTTTTTTTTTACATATTAAAAATGCCAACATTTACAGATATACCTATTCAGCTTTAAACAGGAAGGATCAAAATATACGTTTATGTATCTACCAATAAATAATGCTATTTGCTATTATGCTGTAATTTAAATAAATAAACGTTTTTCTTATAATACCTATGTTATATATTATTTGATTTTTATTCGATAATATAATTAATAAATGTGTCGACACGTTTGTGTAAAATTAATTAATTTAAAATATTTGTTGAAATACTGTAAATATTATAGTTTTTACGAATACATTTGGATCTGAAACAGTCGGCCGAATCACGAGAACTTTGTTGTGGGAAATAGTGTTACCTATCTACACAGAATAAATCATTATAAGATACTAACAGGGCCGGATTGGTATGTATCGGCCATAGGACCTTATGCTAATAGACTGGCCATTTATACACGTAAAGCGGCATAGGCGGTACTAGACCCTCTTGGCAGGAGGAGCAGAAAATATTTAAACTATCTAACTATATGTTGGGATGGGGGGGGGGGGTCGTTAATGGGTGACTTCCCCTTCACCCCAATAAAACCCCTTCCAATTTACTCATTGAATAATTTTGTAAATAAAAAGGTGGGTAAGTGGATGTCGCTCTGCTGTACTGTAGGTTACAAGTGGGTCACTATATAATGGATGGTATTAAATTTGAATGCAATGATATATTGTATTAGAAAAACGATTCTGAGTGGAGACGGTATGTCAGTCTAGGTATAAGACATATTGTATACTTTTCTATGGTGTTAAAATATTAAATTATATGGAATTTATGAATAAATTCCTTAAAATATGCACAGTCTTATCATAAGCATAATTGTTATTCCTTATACTATGGTAGATTGTATGGGTAGGCCATAATATTTTGATTTTTCAGTTTCATATATCCCCGAATAATATTTTTAAATAACAACAAAAACAAAGATCGTTAATATTGATTTTAATATGTAATTTCGTCAAAATTTGAATTTAAAATGTCTGTAAAAAATAACTGTGTTCATATATTTTTTAGATTTTTTGGTTACAGTATGAACTATTTATGAGAACCTTTGTTTTAAATTTGCAATCTTTAGCTATAAAAACATTAAAAACTGAACATTTTATAATTTATTAATTACAATGATTGATAATTTTCGAGATTTTGTCAAAATTCGATGTTTAAATGCTTATAAAAAAAAATTGTGTATATTTAATATTTTTCAATTGCTACTGTAACAATATATCAGGAATCTTGTATTAAATTTTTACACTTTTTGGCGCAACAGATAAAACTTTATTGATATTTATAGAAAAAAAAAAACTAAAAAAATTTAACAAATTTAACAATTCGAATCTTTTCTTATCTATCGCAATGTTGTAACGTTTTGACGCACATCACCTTATCAGGATTCGTTGATAATAAAATCACAAAATAGATTAAATAATAGAATATTTTTTAAGTGTGTGTTATCATTCACAGTTATTTTGGAACAAATTTCGTATTGAAAAAAAAAAATTTATATATTTTTAGAGTTAGGAAACCGAGATTTAAGGAATTATGTATTAATACAGGTACGGTTCGCAGGAGGGGCAGTTGCCTACTCTGCCACCCCCGTAGTACCGCCTATGTAAAGCGGTCATCGATAGAGCGCGGTCTTCATGTGTAACTTGTGACTGCACCATAATAATTATTATGTTATATGTATTCGTTGGAGAATGACAACACTGATGTGATTATACTGAACATCACTGCTGTATGTCTGACCGGCTACTACTGACAGCTACTCTGTAGGCAAGTCTATTAGTATAAGGTCTATGGTATCGGCCCATCGAGATTTTCACTTCTAATCCTATTCACACATTCAGAGGCCCAAATATTACGTAATATAATTATTATGAGCTTATAGGTGGCCAATCGTATTTTAAACATGAATTTATTTTAACTCACACTCACACAACCGGCCCAAACTTTAGGCGGCCCACCGAGATTTTCTAGGTAGCTCGCCTAACCAATCCGGCCTTTTACAGTTGTACATAACATTTATTTTTTAATTCTTTAGAATCAAAGTATAAAAAAGCGTTTTTTCGTACACGGGTGATGGGTCAGGTTTTACAGATCTCAACCCCCCCCCTACCATCCCCTATAATAAAAATTGTGTAGCCACCACTACACACTTGTCTGCTATGTCAATCTCGTGTATTCCAACTGATCGAGAAAGTAGCGATAACAATATCTTTTTTTGTTTTCGTCATATTTATAATGAAACCCCTGGGAAAGCCATTGTCACCCCCCCCCCCCCCCCAAAATACGCAAACGTAATACTATTATATCTATCACGGTAATGTTTATATGTCTGGCGGGCGTCGGCCCGACACGATATACCGGCCGTTCGGTCTTCTTTATGCTCATCGGAGACCTTTAAAATATACATACATATATATATATACTATCACTTTATATTGTATAATAATATTATAACGTATGACGCGCCAACAGTGTCTGCATAATATTATGTGTGCGTGCGTGTATTATATGGTGTCCGAGCCATTTGGCAATGTATATACACACTCGCGGCGGCCGAAAACAAACGGCGGCAAAAGCGAAGGGTCGTGTGTGTGTGTGTGTGTGTGTGTGTGTGTGTGTGTGTGTATACATGTTATTATATTATGCGCTTGTATGTGGATAATAAATGCTCACGACGAAAAATATCGGTCCGCATACGTCATTCTCGAGATGATGACGACCTCTTCGCGGCCGCGAATAAGGGTGTTTTGGCGGCGACGGCGATATTTCACCGACGACTCTACGCGTAGACCGTCCAAATGTTCGGTCGTTTTGCGAGATCGGTGTGCGCGTCTCCACAGTGCACATAATAATAATAATATGCGCACAGCCGTGTACGTATATATAATAAACACACGCGATATATCATATTATATTATAATAATATATTATACACCGAGCCGCATTTCCTATGAATATACGTGAGTATAGTGCGGGCGATTCGGCGTCCGAATTTGCATTTGGCGGAGGAGCAGCGGTCGTGAAAAAAACGATATCATGGCGGGCGATAAAATCCCAAGTCGAAAATATTCATACCCCGCGAGAGCGGACGACCTCGGTAGACGCCGCCGGGCCGACCGGAAGACGACTATAATTCCGGTATATCATCGACGATCTATTATTATTGTTGTTGTTGGTAGCGTCGTATTTTTTACGGGTCCGCTTGTGTACATAAATATATTATATACATGAAGGGTTTCGCATATTATATTATTATAGTATTTTGTGTTCGCCAAGTTCGGGTGTTTTTGCGTTACAGCAGCGCCTACGGCTAGTAGTTTGAGGGTTTTTTCGTCGAAATTACATACAATATTATATCCTCTTCCAAGGCCGGCAAAGGGGTGTGTGTGGGGGGGGTTGGCGAGGTGTGACCCGGGCCACAGGGCCCACGCTTTCAAAGGCCCCGTGCCTTACGTAGTATTCATATTGTAAATATTCTAGACGTATTAGGTGTGACGCACTACTAATAAACATCGAAGTTCGGTTAGTTTTAAAACTAATAACTTGTAAGTAATAACCAACTGGTAATCCAGTAACTGTAACAAATTCATGAAATCAGGAAGACATATTCATCAAACAATTGTTTAAACCATTATCAAGGTTCACTAGTTATAACCGAACTATATGCCAATAGTCATTATATCTATTTTGTTAAGTGTTTAGGAAGTCAGGAAGATAAAAAGAAAAAAAGGTGGGCAAGTGGGTGTCGCTCTGCTGTACAGTAGGTTACAAGTGGGTCACTGTATAATGGATGATATTAAATTTGAATTCAACGATATAATATCATTGTATAAGAAAAACGATTCTGAGCGGAGACGGTATGTCAGTCTATGTTTAAGACATATTATATACATATCTATGGTATTAAACAAAAAATTGACCTATAATAGGTACCTATAATAAATTCCAAATTAATCATATCACAATATCCATTAGATACTTATAACGCGTTAAACATCAACAAAAACCGTGATACTATCATAGATATATAATAGTACACTTTAGAAGTTTCAAGTACCCACGAATAGTATTATTCAATCACAACAAAATAACTAAAATCGTAATTCTTGGTTTAAATATGAAATTTTGTCTAAATTTGAAATTAAAATGTCTGTAAAAAATAAGTGTGTTTATATATTTTTTAGATTTTTTGGTTACAGTATGAATTATTTAAGAGAATCTTTGTTTTAAATTTTCAACTCTTAGCTATAAAAACTGAACATTTTATAATTTTTTAATTCCAACGATTGATAATTTTCGAGATTTTGATAAATTTTGTCAAAATTCCAACTTTAAATGCTTATTTATTTATTTATTTATTTATTTATTTATTTATTTTACATTACGGGACTAGCCCAAAGTACAGTTAATGGAATAAGATACAGACAAAACATTATAATAATATTGATATAAAACAAAGACTAAAGATTAAAGACTCGAGAGGTTCTCATTTGCTAAACGCATCATTCGGTGGATAGGGTGGTTTCGGCCATAGTTAGTGGTGTGTCGAGGAACGTAGTAGGGGGCCGTTAGCCTGGAAGACCTACTTGGAACACGAAAGTTTACCTCAGCGAGAAGCTCGGGAGCATTTATGGTACCATTCGTAAGTT